TCCTGTGAAATCTCTCAGGGGAAATGAAAGTCAGTGGGGCTTTTTCCATCTACCGTTCAGTGTAGTTGACAAGGGTATTCCCAGATCCACTCAGACCTTGACAAATTATCTTTCCCATTTAGAGAAATCCCCCTTCCCAACCCCTATTTCTTTTTTGTTTGCTTTTTGGAATGAAAGATTGTTCAGGTGCTGAAGGCAACTCCAACTTTACTTGAACTTATTTGGAGTCCTTGGATTTCTCTAACACCTTTTTGTTTGTTTTTTGCTGTTTGTAAACTTACATTTTAAAAGATAACATGCTGCTTTGGGGCTAAGAGGTCTTCACTCTTATTGTTTCCACCAAAGGTGACAAAAATGGCTGCAGGTTAAGAAAAGAATAACAAAGTCCTGTTAAAAAGTAATAACAATGTATCTAAGACACATTGTACGGTGTAAAAGAACAAAAGCCATTTACAGGATACATTCTTTAGAATCCCATTTATGTAACAAACTCAAATAGAATACCTGCATAGGTCCACATATGTATATGTAAATACACAGAAAAAGATCTGGAGGGGGAGACATCAAACTGTTAACAGTCTTCTGGAGGGGGGAGTAGGGTTGGGTGAGAGTGAAGGAGAGTTTCACTTTTTCTGTATATTCTTTTATTTATTGGAGATTATACAATAAGGATGTATTCATTATTTTAAAAATGAAAATGTAATTTAAAAACAGCATAGTTACCCATACGGCTACTGGAACGGTTTTGGGACTATTACAGCATTATATATTATTTTCTTATTTCACCTCTCCCAGCTAATTAAAAATCATTTTTTAAGCATCTACTTTGTGTAGTAAATATCTCACATTTGTATTGTACTTTGTGGTTTGCATCTATTTCTTACAACTCTAGAGGTAGGGTATTAATTAGGATTTTATTGGCTTCAGGTGACAAACCCAATTTAACTTAAGCAAGAAGGAGAATTTGGTAGAACAGTATTTCTTAAAATTGAATAATATTGATTCCACCTTTTAATTTTGTTCATGCTGCTTTATTTTATTTTTCAAACTTTTTTTTTTTTTTGAGGAAGATCAGCCCTGAGCTAACATCCATGCTAATCCTCCTCTTTTTTTTTTGCTGAGGAAGACCCGCTCTGAGCTAACATCTATTGCCAATCCTCCTCCTTTTTTTCCCCCAAAGCCCCAGTAGATAGTTGTATGTCATAGTTGCACATCCTTCTAGTTGCTGTATGTGGAAGGCGGCCTCAGCATGGCCAGAGAAGCGGTGCGTCGGTGCGCGCCCGGGATCCGAACCTGGGCCACCAGTAGCGGAGCACGTGCACTTAACCGCTAAACCACAGGGCTGGCCCTGTTCATCCTGTTTTAAACAGAAAAGAGCCACCTCTTCAATGTTGACAAGTTATTTTTATCAAAATGTTACTTAAATGCATAAATTATTTATAAGCTCCTTATGCTTATAGGGCTTATAAAACATAAAATCAGAATAAACTTATGAATTAAATAACCATAAACTCAAAACAATTCACATTAACAACATTAATTTACTCTGATGAATGATGCTTTGCTGAACTACAATCGCCAATGTTAGAGAAAAATAGGAAAATATGTCCCAGTTTAGATTCTCTATTTGAAAAATCTGCTTGTGTAATTTAGTTTCAATAATATTAACACATGCAGAGAGTGCCTGTTCATATAAGCTTGTCACACCAAAAATACAAAGTGGTAGTAATAATTTCAAGGCTTTGTTTACTTGTCCAGGATAATCAGACTTAATACTTCACAAATCTTTGCCAGAGAGCATTCCTCTAATGCAAGTTTAATGAGATGTCGCTTGATATCTTCATAAAACTGACTTGTTCCCTTGTTGTTAAGTTACTCTTACTTAAATCTGCATTAAATGAGTATATAAGCCAATTATCACTGGAATTGGGAACAGGAAAAAATATCTGGACTTCAAGTTCAATATTGCAAATGTTGAAAAAAATTGTCTAGTTTTAGCCCAGAACTTTCTATTAGATTATTGAAGAAAATAGGTAAACACTTGAATGACTCATTCACGTAACTTTAAAAATGATTAAACATTTTTCAGTTTTCTTTATAAACTTCCACTTTTTATTGGGTTTGGAATATTAGGACCACTGTGAAACTTGCTTTTGGGCTGCCTGCTGTGATGTCATGCAGCCTTCATTTGGTATGCGTGCATATTTACATGTTATATGACAGCCTTTGTCCTCTTCTCATTAGCCTGCAACAACCAAAGTAATATAGTACTGTATCACATTATGTCATTTTCCTTGATGTCAAGTAAAAAACTAAACTTATTAAATAACAATAAACTAAAGTTTAATTCTGTTTCAGCCTTTCAGTTGCAAAACACTACTACAAGAACATTGCCTTTATAATTGATGGTTAGAAGACTGTGTGGCTTAGTGCTAGAATAGTATTGCATTTAAATCATAGCCTAAACAAGAATTCCAATCTTTAGTTATATTCATCTCAAACATGCATAACATGACATGCTGGATCTTTAATGTAGCAGGTAGAAGGTGTTTGGGAGCAGAGATCTTTTCTCTGATGCTGCTATCTATGGGCAGGTGCACCCATGGCGGTGCACAGCTGCCAGTATATATTCTCAACCCAGTTCACTGGAGTGATCTTTGAAAACATAAATCTGATCATGTCACCTCTCTGCTTAAAGCCTTCAATGGCTCCTTGCTCCATTAGGATTCAATCTAAGCTCCTTGATGAGGCTTACCTTTCCAGTGTCATCTCAAGTAGAATTAACTCCTTCCCTACTCGAGAATGAAATCTTGGTTTTACCCCTGCAAAGACCGAGGTCTTTTTTCCCAAACCTCAATGGCAATGGCAGATTCAGCCCTTTATATCCAGAGCTGCAGAAAGAAACATGGAAGCTTTTAAATTCTTTTTTTTCATCTTAAGTGGGGTTGGGAGAGGGGCAAAGAGTTGCCTTCAAAATTTCCAGATCCATTTCTTAGATAGGGCTCAAGTTACTGGGCTTCTAGAAACCTAAAACTTGGCTAAACACATTAGTTGCCTGCCCTAATGTTGATAAAATGCCTTCCTGAGAATCATGAGATGGGAGCTTAAAGGCTCTTTAGTCCACCCAGTCCTCCAGAGCAGGCCCTTCCAGCTTGAATACCTACAGGCAAGGTGTTCCAAGATGTTCCTGGTCCCTTTGTACATGCCCTCTTTTTTTTTCTTGTACTCTTATATTTTTATTCTTTTTCTACTGTATTTCGTTTAAGAAATACTGGTCATGACCCACTAAACTGACTTCATGACTTAATGTTTCAAAAATACCGTGGTTGATTAATCTGCTCATTATGAAAGGTAATAGGGAGCCAGCCCAGTGGCGCAAGCAGTGAAGTGCGCGCGCTCTGCTGCGGCGGCCTGGGGTTCGCTGGCCCGGATCCCGGGTGCACACCTACGCATGGCTTGGCAGGCCATGCTGTGGCGGCATCCCATATAAAGTAGGGGAAGATGGGCACGGATGTTAGCCCCGGGCCAGTCTTCCTCAGCCAATAAAAAAGAGGAGGATTGGCAGATGTTAGCTCAGGGCCGATCTTCCTCACACACACAAAAAAAGGTAATAGACATAAAAGTGCCTAGTTCCCAAAAAGTGGGGCCCTCTTCCTTCTTTTCCTTGGGCAGCCAAACTTAACCTTAGCTACAATTTGTCCTCTGCGTTTCTATGACATTTATGTGTGTAATGTTTATGTGTGTAATGCTTATATGTGTAAATGCTTATAACTTTCATAATTAAGTAAACTAAAGACTCATTACTGGGAGCTTCTCAATATCAATGCAGATTTGATCTGGGCTGATGACAAACAGTTAGTCACCTTTGACTAGTCACCAAGGAAATTATATGCTCTAGGGTCGTATTTAATCTACAACAAACTGACCATAAATCCAAGAAGTAAACATTTTTAAATGATTGCTATACACCGATTGTTAACATGGGAACATGACCTTACATTTACATAAAACATTATACTTTTCCATGTGCTTTCACATATACTATTTCATTGATCTCTCACAGTAACTCTCAGGTGCTCCTAAAACAGAAGATATTACCCTCATTTTGCACATGATAAAACTGGGGTGCAAAGGATTACACTTGTGTTCTCAATACTGGCTGTAGATTAGAATACCTCGGGGAATTTTAAAATATGGCCAATGCCTGTGCTCCAGAGATTCTAATCCAAACGGTCTAGATGGAGTCTGAACATCAGTATTTTCCAGAATGGCCTCAGGTTAGTCCAATGTGCAGTCAAGGTTGAGAGCCACTGGGTTACACAGTGCTGAGCTTAAGACACCAATATAATAAATAAAACTGGATATCATAAAATGCTAGTATTTTTCACCACTCCCCCAATCCTCTACTCTCTTACTCCATCAAATGTTATAATTATAGAATCTCTGCTGGAAAACAATTTTGGCAATTTGTTTGAATCGTATGTTTTTAACATTTATAAAACAGAATTCTCTGGAAAATATTCTCAACATATACTTCTTGCTGACTCCGACTGACTTGTTTTCTGAGTTGGTGTGAACTGCAAGTTCTAACTGCATGTCATGCTATCTTCGTGGGTCAGCCTCAGAACGGTAGCGATGGTCCTGCTGTCTTAAGGCTGCTGACAGTGGCAGTTTATATAAGCCACTCCTTCCTCTTTGTCCCACTACTTTTGGTTCACTCCTCTGCTGTCACACCCTTAAGATTATATTGTACTTGATCTCTTCCCAAGCTTGCTTCAGTCATAGGTTGTGAGTCCTTCAGACCACATACCATGTCCTAGACACCTTAGGCTCCCAAACCTAGCACAGGGCCTGAGTTAGGGCAGGGGCTTGGCACATTGTCTTGAATGAATAAATGAACAATTTTGGTGCTCAGAGCAGGTCTGTGGAGGATGGGGCAGAGGTTGGCCCTATCACATCTCCTGCTCTATTCCTTCTACCTGTCAGCTCTTTTGCTGGAGAGACAGGTTTTCTTTATTATGATGTCAAAGGGAAGTAAGTTAAGATCTGGTGTCTTTTTGTCTCTATTAAGAAACCATGAAGTATAAAACCCTCTGCCATAGGGTCCCTCAAACTCCATGGTGGATTTCTAATTTCTGAGCACTGGCAGTACTGCCAGCTGCCTCCTGTTTCGGAAGCCAACAATATACTGTAGAGAAACCAGATCCCCTTTCAAGTGCACCCTAAACTCCCAGGCTGGAACTGAGGTCTCTACTCCAGGGTTTGGGGCTCTGGCCATTGGCAATGATTATGATCTAATACACCAGACTGGTGAAGTAGCAATTCAAGAAATATGGTTCTCCAAATCCACCAAGAAACTCGACTGATTTCTCCTTGAAGTTCAAATCCCCCTTCTTGGGGATGGATGAGTCTAGGTGATCCTGGTTCTTCACCTATTCATTTTCTGATGCTCTTCCTTCCTATATATAGATCTGAGTTTTCTTTCTTTTTTTTTTTTAATTTTATTTATTTTATTTTTTTCCCCCAAAGCGCCAGTAGATAGTTGTATGTCATAGCTGCACATCCTTCTAGTTGCTGTATGTGGGACGCGGCCTTGGCATGGCCGGACAAGCGGTGCGTCAGTGTGCGCCCGGGATCTGAACCCCGCGCTGCCAGCAGCAGAGCGCGCGCACCTAACCGCTAAGCCATGGGGCCGGCCCAGATCTGAGTTTTCTGACCTGTATCATTTTCCTTCTCAGTGAAGAACTTCTTTAACATTTTTTGCAAGGCAAGTCTGCTGGCAACAAATTCCCTCAATGTTTGTCTGAGAAAGTCTTTATTTCTCCTTTACGTTTGAAGGATAATTTTGCAAGGTACAGAATTCTAGGTTGATGGGGTTTTTTTTCTCTCAACACTTTTGCTTGCATGGTTTCTGAGAAGAAGTCAGATATAATTCTTATCTTTGCTCCTCTATAGGTAAGGTGTTTTTTTTCCTCTGGCTTCTTTCAAGACTTTTTTCTTTATCTTTGGTTTTTTGCTGTTTGAATATGATATGGCTAAGTGTAGTGGGGTTTTTTTGGCATTCATCCTGCTTGATAATCTCTGAGCTTCCTGGATCTGTGGTTTGGTGTTTGACATTAATTTGGGGAAATTCTCAGTTGTTATTGCCTCAAACATTTCTTGTGTTGCTTTCTCTCTTCTCCTCCTGGTATTCCCATTACACATATGTTACATCTTTGTAGTTGTCCCACAGTCCTTGGTTATTCTGTTCTGTTTTTTTTCAGTTTTTGTTCTATTTGATTTTCAGTTTTCAAGGCTTCTATTGATATATCCTCTAGCTCAGAGATTCAGTCAACTAATGAGCCCATCAAAGGCATTCTTTATTTCTATTCCAGTATTTTTGATCTCTAGCATTTCTTTTTGATTCTTTCTTGGAATTTCCATCTCTCTGCTTACATTACCCTTCTGTTCTTGCATGTTTTCTACTGTTTCTATTAGCTCCCTTAGTGTATTAATCATAGCTATTTTAAATTTATGGTCTGATAATTCCAACATCCCTGCTATATCTGCGTCTGGTTCTGATGCTTGCTCTGTCTCTTCAAACTGTGTCTTTTGCCTTCTAGTATGCCTTGTAATATTTTGTTGAAAGGTGGACATGTTGTGTTGGGTAAAAGGAACTGCAGTAAACAGGCCTTGAGTAATATAGTGGTAAGATGTGGAGGGAGGGGAGTGTTCTTTAGGCCTATGACTAGGTCTCAGTCTTATGGTGAGCCTGGGCCCCAGGACTGTGAACTTCACTAGTGCTTCCCAGTTGTTGTTTTTTTAACCCACCTAGGTGGGACAGGATGGCTAAAGGGGCTGTAGTGGGGTAATTCCCTTCCTCCAGGTCTGTAGGCTCTGATAAAAACCCAGCAGGTTAGGCTCTGGTAAAATAGTTTCTCCTGAGGGCAGGCCTTCTTAAGAAGAACAAAAATGGTTACTTTTCCCCTCCTCCTGCCTGAAGCACAAGAGGATGTTTCTCTGATCTACGCTGTGAGCTCCTGGATGTAAAAGACAAAAATGTGAGGCTTCTCCTATGACTACGTCCCCCTGGAGTTTTTAACTTGTCCACACCAAACCTCCAGCAGTTCACCTGCTACAGTTAGGTTTTCCTACCCCAGTACTGGTTCCCGTGGAGGATTTTGCTTGTTTCTGCTTTGGTAAGTTGTGATTCTCTCTATCCATTTCTCTCTCTCTCCAATTTTGGGGGCAGCAGTTTGCCCTGTGGCCTTGCTTCTCTGATGGATCTAAGAAATTTTGTTGATTTTTCAGTTTATTCAGCTTTTAGCTTGTTGTTAGGATAGAGCAGTGACTTCTAAGCTCCTTACATGGTGGACTGGTAACCAGAAGTCCCCCCTTTTTTTTAATTAAAAAAAGAAACATTAAAAAACTTTTAATAATGAAACTTGCAACCTTTCAGATAAATATAGTATTATGAGCATCATATAACCTATATTTAACATTAACAATTTATTTCCTCTCTTTCATTTTGGCTAACATCTTTTCAATTAAAATATAGGTGTTATGATAGTCCATTCTTAAAGATTTTATTATAAACGTCTAAAAAATAAAAAGATTTTCTTATATAATCTTTTTTTTTTTTTAAAGATTTTATTTATTTATTTTTTCCCCCCAAAGCCCCAGTAGATAGTTGTGTGTTATAGCTGCACATCCTTCTAGTTGCTGTATGTGGGACGCGGCCTCAGCATGGCCGGAGAAGCAGCGCGTCGGTGCGAGCCCGGGATCCGAACCCGGGTCGCCAGCAGTGGAGCGCGCTCACTTAACCACCAAGCCACGGGGCCGGCCCTTCTTATATAATCTTGATATCATTATCACACCTAACAAAAATAACATTAATTCCCTAATATCATCTAATAACCTTTCCAAGTTCAAATTTTCCCACTTGTCCCCAGATTATCTTTTAAGGTTGATTTGTTCAAGAGGACCACATACATTTTATTGCAAGTTCCCTTTAATCTATAATTCTTCTTTTAAGAATTATTTTTTTGTGTGTGTGAGGAAAATTAGCCCTGAGCTAACATCAGTTGCCAATCCTCCTCTCTTTGCTGAGGAAGACTGGTGCTGAGCTAACATCCGTGCCCATTTTCCTCTACCTTATATGGGACGCTGCCACAGCATGGCTTGACAAGTGGTGTGTCGGTCTGCACCTGGGATCCGACCCTGTGAACCCCAGACTGCTGAAGAGGAGCAGGTGAACTTAACCACTATGCCACCGGGCTGGTCCTAAGAACTATTTTTAAAAAATTTTATGAGGGAAAAATTCAAATATACACAAAAGAAGAGAGAGAACAGTGCAATGAACTCCAAGTACCCATCACCTAGCTACATTAAGCATCAATTCATGGCCATCCTTGTTTAATCTGCATTCTCATCCTATCGCTCATGCCCCTCTTCCTGGATTATTTTGAAGCAAGTCCTAGACATCATTATCATTTTACCTGTAAATATTTCAGTGTGCTTCTCTAAAAGATAAGAGCTCTTTTTTTAAACAAAAATCCACATACCCCCCCAAAATTAATAACAATTCCGGAATATAATCCAATATCCAATCAGATTTTCCCATTAAAAAAATAGTTGACTTGTTCTAATCAAAATGCAAACAAGGCCCAAACACTGCATTTGGTTGATATGTCTCTTAAAACTCTCTTAATCTGTAGGTTCCCTTTCCCTCTTTCTTCGCCTTGAAATACAGTGTTGAAGAAAACAGCCTGTGTGTTCTATAGAGTTTTCCACATTATATATTTTGCAGATTACATTCTCAAGTCACCACTTAACATATTCTCTGTCCTTTTTATTTTCTGTAAACTGGTAGTTAGAGCTAAAGGTTTGACTTTATTCATTTTTTTTGGTAAGAATACTTCATCGATGATTGTTTTATGTTTGCTGTATTAGCAGCCATTGATTATCATTGCCTAGATCTATTATTTCATTAGAGGTTGCCACCCTCCCATTTTGTTTTTGTCTTATTTCATTTAGTTTTTCATGACATTGACTTATTGATGAAACCAGGCTAGATATTGTGGAGATAGTCCCCCTGGATTTGTTTGATTGTTTCACATGTCATTTAACTTGTTCCTTTGTCCCCTCAGTGTTCCTGTAAACTGGATGTTACAGCTTAAATCTTGATTAGATTCAAGTTAATGTTTTTGGCATGATTACTTCATAAGTGATATTGTGTACTTCATATTACATCATGTTAGCAGGTGCATATTGTCTGCATGCACTTATTTTGAAGGTCCTGCTCCAGATCAGGTCGATACCCATCAAAATGTACCCACATTCCATGTTAAAAAAATTTGGCTGTAACCTTTTTAAAAGGCTTTTAAAATAATTTAATAATTTTAAATTTAGTTAAGACTAAATCTTTCATTTTGTTTCTGGAATTTAAAATTGATTTTATATATATATAACTATATGAGATGGTTTTCAGTTGATTGGTTAATATAATCTTATTTTTGTAGATTCTTTTTTTCCTCTTTATTATGAAGAATTCCTAACATATACAAAGGTAGGCAAAACAGTATAATGAACAATTCTTATCACCCAGCTTCAGCTTATATAGTCAACATTATTCTTCTAGCTCCCTTCCACTTCTCCCTTTCTGTATTATTAAAAAAAATTTTTATGAGATAAAATTCACATACCATAAAATTAACCCTTTTCATGTGTATACTTCAGTGGTTTTTAATATATTCACAAAATTGTGCAACCATCACCACTATCTAATTTCAGAACATTTTCTTCACCCCAGAAGAAACTCTCTAGCCATTCCTCTCTTCCCCCAGCTCCTGGCAACCACTAATCTACTTCTCTCTCTATAGATTTGCCTATTCTGGACTTTTTTGTATAAATGGAATTATACAATATATGGTCTTTTGTGACTGGCTTTGTTAACTTTGCATAATGTTTTCAAGGTTCATCTGTGTATCAGTACAGTCATGCTTTGCTTAACAATGTGGTTATGTTCTGAGAAATGTGTCATTAGCCCCTTTTGTCATTGTGCAAACATCATAGAGCAGACTTACACAAACCTAGATAGTATAGCCTACTATACACCCCTAGGCTATATGATACTAATCTTATGGGACCACTGTCATATATGTGGTCTGTTATTGACAGGAATGTCGTTGTGCGGTGCATGATTGTACTTCAGTGTTTTATTGCCGAATGATATTACATTGTATGGCTATAACACACTTTGTTTTCCCATTCATTAGTTAATGGACATTTGGGTTGTTTCTACTTTGGGGCTGTTATGAATAATGCTGGTATAAGCATTAATGTATGCATTTTTGTATGGACCTATGTGTTCATTTCTCTTGCGTATATACCTAGGAGTGGAATTACTGGGTCCTATATTATTTTGAAGCAAATAACCGACTCATATAATTGTATCCATACATATTTCAGTATGTATCTCTAAAAGGTAAGGACTCTTTTGTTAACATAACCACAATAATATTATTCTACCTAAAAATAGACAATAATTCTTTGATGTCATAAAATATTCAGTATTCAAATTTCTAATGGTCTCATTAATGCTTTTTTCTTCAGTTTGTATGAATCAGGATTCACATAAGCCCTGCTGCTGTACCCTACTAAAGGGTGAATTTTATTGCAATTGATTGATATGTCTTTTAAGACTCTTTTTTAACAGCTTTATTGAGAATTCACATATCATATAATTTACTGATTTAAAGTGAAGCCAATGTTTTTTCATTTTTCTCCCCATCCACTTCTTTCTGCCCATATTGTTTAATTTTTTTATTGAGATATAATTCACATACCATAAAATCCACTCTTTTCAAGTATACAATTCAGTGATTTTTAATATATTAACAAAGTTTTGCAACCATTACTATTCAGTGATTTTCAGTATATTCACAGAGTTATATATACAACCATCACAAGTCTCTTTTTAATCTATAGATTTTTCCCTCCAAATCTCATTTTCCTTTGCAATTTATTTGCTGAAGGATCTTGCTTCTTTATCCTGTAGAATTTCCATCGTCTGGATTTTGCTGTTTGCATCTCCGTAGTATTTTTTTATTTTCCTCTGTCCTCTATATTTCCTATAAATTGGTTGTTAGATATAGATATCTGATAAGATTCAGGTTCAATTTTTTCTACAAGACTACTTTATAGTCATGTTTATGTTCTAGCGGCACGTATGTCTCATCTTTCATTTTGTGATGCTAGCAGAGGTTGATGCTCAATGGGTTGATCTCCGAATTCATTAGGGGTTGCAAAATGGTGATATTCTATCATTCATTCTTTATTTATTACTTGAAATACTCCTATAAAAAGAAAATTTCCTTCATCTACTATTTGGTTACTCAGTGGTACAGTTTCTTTAGAAAAATTAACACATTAATTTTTATTTTCATATTGTAGAGCCAAAGACTTCCCCCCCCCCCCCCCCAGGTCTCAAACATTTTCCTAAGCAGCGCGATATAGTGCTTAATGGGTAAAACACCTGCCCACCGGGACTAAAAGTAGGAAAATAAGGGGGCGGGGCCAGTGGCGACAGGAAATCTGCGCTAGCAGGATACGCGTCCTCAGCTCCAGCAGATTTTTCTCTTTTTTGGCCGCATCACGTAAGATTCTCCTAGATGAAGCATCAGGCAAAAACAGAAAAAGAAAAAAGAAAAAGCCACCAGATCTAAAAAAAGTTTTCTTTTCCTCAAGGAATTTATATGCTTTTCCATAATCATTCATAAACATCAGTGAACAGTCTATATTTTCCCACTTTGCACTGCGCCCAGTAAATTCGAAGCCAAATTTTCTGTTTAATTTTGGAACAACAGGAATTTCTGATCTGTACATCTACATTTTCCTTCCATCTTGATCCTCCGTACCTGTTCCGGTCTTTAAGCTGATTCAAATTTTCTACGAGCAGAAAGGGGTTTGATTGAATAAAAACATTTACATAGCCATCAGACATCTATGAAAGGTATCTTTTTCTTGGCACTCTACTCACTGCTGGGTGTTATTTAAAAAATCCTTACGTAATAAGCCAGAAATAGTTTCTCATTGGGGTCTTAATTTGTATTTCTATGATTACTGGCGAGCTTGAACATTTTCGTTAAAATTGTTTGCTTGGGACGTGGCTTATATTGAATTAGGGAGGAGTTCAGCTAGTCGACTGAAAGACAAAACAAATGAAACCCAGGAATACCTCAATTTTACATTTAAGCTTTGACTCCGCCCCTGTTTTTTTCCCACTCCAAAAGAGCCCTTTGTGTGTTTCAGCGGTCAGGGAAAGAGATCTCAGTCTGTAAAGCTGACAGAACACCGTATTGCCCCCCAATATGTGTATTATGTGCCTATCCTATTTCTGATTTTAGTGTTTATGGGAAAGACTTTCTGAATCCTGAACATGCTTGGAGTACCGGTAGTCGCCGGGACTCTTTCTGCAGGCGTGGCCTCGCTCACTCGGCCTTCGATTGGCCCGCCTGATCCCGCAGGAGACGCGGGCTTGCTTAGCGCGGTGAATGCGAGTGATGAGTGGCTGCTTCTGCCTTCTCCTTCCACTTTTTTTTTTTTGCCATAGCTATGGTTACCACGTCTCTCCCCGCCTCCCTCCACCTACCAAGAAGACGACTGGCCATTGGCTGTCTGTCACCAAGTCAGTCAGTCATTGGCCCCTGCTGAGGAGCGGGCGCTCCCCCTTCCCCTGTCTCCCGGTCTCTTGAGGAGCCCAGGAAGGAGGCTCCGCTAGTGCCGCCGGGCCAGGGGCTGCCGGGCCGGCTGCGGTCCTCGTTAGCGGGTCATGTCGGCCGCCCAGGGCTGGGACAGGAACCGCCGGAGGGGAGGAGGCGCCGCAGGCAGTAGTGGCGGCGGCGGAGGTAGCGGGGCCGGCGGGGGCAGTGGGGGCAGCGGGGGTCGGGGGACTGGCCAGCTCAACCGATTCGTGCAACTCTCCGGGCGGCCGCACCTGCCAGGTGAGTCGTGGGACATGGTCCTGACAGCTTGCGGGCCCGGCGGGAAGGTGACTGCTACCTTTTCTTTTCTCCCTAGCTTTCTTTTCCTTGGGAGTAGAAAAGGCAGGCCCCACGCATATCAGAAAAACTGGAGCTTAGGGGAAAGGAAAGGTGTCTTTGAGGTTGTGGCGAGAACAGGAACACAGCGAAGAAAAGTAGTTTTGCTCTGTTGAAAGCTCTGTGCTGAGAGTTGTGTTTTCTTTTCAAAGGAGAGGCCCCCGTCTCATTGACATTGCCAAATGTTTCACTTACTCGGTTCCCAGTCTCGTTCTCTGCCGCAGATTGATCTTGTAAAAGAAAAACATTAGCGCCTAGCTGTGGGAAATTATTTTTAAAAGGGTGCTAAATTGAGGAGAGAAGAGGAAAGAGCATTCCCAAAAGTGATTTTGTAAAAATCACTTCTAGTGTGTAAGAGGCATTCTGAAACAAGAAAGGAGGAGGAAGGTGGGGAGGGTCGTTGGAAGGTGGGTGGGAAACAGAACCAAGAGAATTAGGGAAACTAGTTGGATTATTAATATTTTGGAATGTCCAAAGGCAGAATGGATAGTGTGTCTGGATTTTAAGGGGAGCAAACGAAGATCAAGAATATACTTAGTGACAAAATTATGCTTTGTCTACTATATAGAAACAGCTGATTGAGAATTGGAAAAATGTGATTATTTCACGTTTTGGCCTACAATTCCCTATTCGTGAGTTCTGCTGCTTTAAAAAACAAAGACAAATCAAATCGATATGTGTGTGCAGATAGTTTTAAAGAGATACATTTGTAAGTGAATATTCACTATAGTAGAAGGAAGGTAAGAAAGTAAATACTGCGCAGAATGTCAAATGTTATATTGGGCAAGCTTATTTTTCCATGAAGAGAACTATCAGGAATGGTGTGTTAATCATTGACCATGTTTTTTGTGAATAATGTTGAAGTTGGTTTTATCAGTGATGTATTTGTTTACCTGATGAGTTTTGAGAACATGATGGTTTCCCGAATTGTGTTTGCTGCTCTGTCTTGTATTTCTTAGTAGTCAAAAATTGTTATTTGATTAATTTGAAGATAACAAAGGGCATTTTGCACATTCAATGAGACAACTGCTTATGTTTGTGATAATGTTACTGATGTGTGCTAAAAATTCACATTAATCCATATATATGTGCTATTAAAATTAACATTGAGACAGCTTTAAATCGTAAAATATATAATATATAAGGAGATGGGTTTGAGATGATAGTATCAGACTGGGTATTCTAGAATTGCTAAATATGTGATCTTTAACACGAAAAAGAAAAAAGGAGAAATCTTTTTCTTACCCCAAATTAATAGCAAAAACTTACATTTTTGTGTATTGACAGATCAGAAGATAAATCTCTTCCCAAAGACTATCACCAGTTTGCTCTCCACTACTGCAATTTTTAGGTCTTTGATCTTGGGTGATTTATGCCATGGGCTTCATATAGGCATTCCCAGGCTCCCAAGAACCTGGTTGATGCACTTCCTTACTGCCACCACCTGATGGCAGTGGAAGCCATGATTTTTGATAAAGGGCTTAGGTGTGGAGCTATTTCTGCATTCCCTTAGCACACAAGGCCAAAAACAGCCGTTGTCCAGAGGTAAAGATAAACGTGTTTAAACTGTGAAAATTCATGCAGTGGGGTCATCAGCTTCTTCTCTCCACTTTCTTTTCCCTTTGACTGGCACTTCACTCTTTCTTGCCCAAGTAGGCAGCCTCTGTCTTTTCTTCACTCTCAAAATTGGGAACGTCGGATATCTCAATATATACTTTCAATTTCTTTCACACCAATTCTTGCTTTTCCCAAGTATTGCATTGTAAGCCTCCCCTCCCCGCTTGATTGAAAGGTTTTATTTTGAGATGTTTAAAAAGATTTTAGGTGATAGGGAGGGATAGAAATGTCTGGGCTGTTCTATGGCTGACCCTGGAGGTAAAAAAAAATTTTTTTTAAGTTTAGGTAGCTAACTTTCTCTCTCTCTTGAACTCTAATTGCATTT